TGTTGAATGTAATAGTGTTGCAATTTTGACGGAAGATAAACAATGGATGCTAATTTGAACAATTGCAACGGGATGCTGTAATACAGAATCATAAATATGTATTATTTCCAGCATACCGATACAAATATATGTCCTGTAATAGGCTCTACGAAGCACGCACACAACCATAAGAACTGAGACATAAGACATGGTGTATGTACCCCCACTTAGCACTGTTCTAAATGATCAACTGACTCTTGTACTGGCTAACTGACAATCAAAACTCACTTTTACAGTGTTCAGATCTGCATGTTGAAACGTTAAATTGGAGCATACGAGCTGGGGCCACAAAAACATTCACTGGTTCTCCAGAGACAGGCATGATCCTTCTCACCAACTGAGGATACACTGTGATAGTAATGTGAAGAGAGCACCACTCACCGCCTGAATTGTGATGTTGGGAAACAACCTCAGGAGGCCAACATTTGGATTTAAAGTTGGGTGAACTCTGAATTTCTCAATAGTAGACGGTCGAAAAATTGCCTGTGCATTCACTGAAAGGAATACGCAAAACAAAAGGTAGAGTTAGTAAAAGTATACATTCAACAGCCAGTAGGTTAATTTCACTAATACAGTTAATTAACCACATNGGCTGTCAGCTGGTGGGTCGCTATTTTTAGCCAGCTACAGACAGAGCGTTCTCGTTATCTCGACACTTGAGAAGTACCTAAGGCGTGGTGGGTTGGTATGTCCGGCGCGGTTCACAACCGAGCGGCAGCCTTTGTTGTGGCCGGCGGTGGCATTTTCGAAAACAAGCTTTAAGCACCAATAAACTCAAATTAAAGGTAATTTCACGAAGTTAACTTTACACTCATACTTTAAATGTATCTTGTATTATGCTGGTTTATTATTTTGTTCCGTTTATTGTCGGTAATCGTTACCTTCTATTCTGAGTTCAAAACGGTCATAACTCCGTAACCGTCCAAAATCGGACACATGGTTATATGAACTTTTTTGATCACAAAGATCTGGGAAATAACCTCCTGCAGTTATTCCCTAAAGTCGTGAAACACTGTATATATTTTCGTTGTTAATATTTGTATTGGAAAATAAAGATCTTTTTCCATCAAACATTGATTCTCATACTATTCATACTAGACAAAGAAAAGATCTGTATCTACCTCAAGCTAATTGAACTATTTATCAAAAAGCAGTTTACTCGTATTATGCGGGTATAAAATATTCAATAAATTACCCATAGAAATCAAGAACACATCTAATAATTTTAAACAGTTTAAGGTTTATTAAGGCATTTCTTGAATACTCATACGTTTTATACTGTGGACGAATATCTAAGTAGATAATTTTTATTATTGTTGTATTCATTGTACTGTCTAGTTGTGTAATATTTATGTATGTATTCCATGCTCTATATTATTTTATGACATGCTTTATATCCATCTTTGGAACTCTTGAACTTACAATAAATACAAATACAAATGCATGTGACATCTGTTGGCACTTAACACAAAAAAAAATTAGATGAAATATTTTCCTATATTTCAAGCGCTTATGGAGTTTATATAATTCAGTTCATAAATTTTCCATTGTTTTGACTTACACTTACAGGAATTAAACCTGTAACTCTTAAAGTTATATGACTACATATCATAAAACTTAGTATAATTTGTTCTTCAAGAGGCATTATAGCTAGCTGCTCACAGCATTAGCATTTTAATGTTTTATTACAACATTAACAATACAACAATTGTTTACTATAACATTAACAATACAACCAAATTATTCTTTTAGCAATACTAAAATTATGTTGTTAGGAAATTACACCCAGAAACAATGAAGCTACTTAGGTTGCAAAACACTTAATGGCATTTTCTTCTAATTAGGCCCAATTAGTCTGTTTATCATTTTTTAAGCCTGACTTAGCTCCCTTCATCAGCTCCACAGATGCCTGACTGCTTCTTATGCAGAATTTGGACTAGGCCGCATGTTCCTCTGAAGTAATGGTAATTGCCTAAAACACTACATGCTGTCATAACCAAGACAAACATAACACATTACTATAATGACACTGTTAGAGCAATCCCTCACACAGTTCCAGGCCGAAAGAAACAGCCATAAATCAAGACAATGAAATCAATCTTTTACCTAACAATAGCCTTCAACTTTTAAGTGAACAAAGGAACAATAAAACGTTCATGAAATCCATGTGCTACAGAAAGCTGACACTTCAACGTTAATTATTAAACAAACATTATATTTCACATAAGTGTCTTTGAAAGTGTCGCCAGGCCAGCACCAAAGCATTCAGAAGAACATCAGGTGCTTCCCTTGACCACCCTGGCTCGATTACAGCAATGGGCATTCAATGTCTAAACATAAACAGTGACTACGCAGACTGTTAAAAGCATTTTCCAAACGTTGCATCCAGACACAACACTTTGCTCAAATGAAGAAGTACTCACAATTGGTGCTTTGTAACAATTATCAAAACAATAGCCATACTAAGGTATCTACTTACCGTTTATTGAAACAACATTAACTCTCCAGTTAAAATAAGCACTTCCTTGCTCTTGACCAGATATCTGTATAAATGTTTCAGTCTCCACTCTGTATCATGATTATGATTTTCTGAGGTGTAATGCCATGTAGTCGGACAAATAGGTACCAATATTTTGGAGAAATTTACTGTTTCCATTACTCCATATTCTAAGTGATTCAAATTTTCATACCCAATGATTTGGTATCAAACTTCCATTTCTCTGTCAAATCTCTCTTAGAGAGAACTAATTTCATTTCTGGCTCTTTTTCAATTATCTCTGCCAGATGTGAAGTCTTCAGTAACTCACCTTCTATATTAATGCCAATTTTGGCAATTGGAGGCATGTTTGGAGAGTCAAATGCAAAAAATGCATCGGTACTTTTCTTCATGGTCCTGTTGCCTCGGAATAAATTATTCCGAAAGAAAACTGTCACTTCAGGAATTACATAATTTCCTGCTAGGACAAGGGCCCCCAGAATGTTATCTCGCCCATCACTCCTGGACTCAAATACTGGGATCTGAAAAGAAGATTGTGAAGGCAGATTACATTTTGGTCAACTATGGAAAATATTTTGACTTATGATAGAGGAAGTGAGAGGAGGCTGGAGAAAACTGCAGTATGAGAAGCTCCATAATTTCACCTCTTCACCAAATTTTATTAGTGTTATCAAACCAAAGAGGATGAGGTGAGCTGGACATACAGCACACAAGGAAGAGATGAGAAGTGCATAAAAAATTTTGGGTAGAAAATCTGAAAGGAGGAGTTACTTGGGAGACCTAGGCATAGATGGGAAGGTAGTATTAAAACTTATCCATAAAACATGTTGACTTGTTCAACTAGTTACATAAAGTTAATCAAAAATGCCTAACCTCAATAATTTCAAAAGTTCTGGAAAGAGAGCAACATTTATATCAATCACTAAACTTGACAGAATAACAATATGCAATAAGCAGTGCTATTATCTAGACAAAATGTTTCTGGCAAAGGTTGTGAATGAGAAACCAACTTCATCAAAAATACCTAACCTCTCTTTTCTTCAACTGGCAAAAGTAAAACACAGTGGTCATTATCCAGTTCACCAACAAACAGAAGACTTAGATCATCTTTCAAACACAACATCAACCACAACAATCAGTGCTTGAATGATTCAGCATTCAGATACAAAAAAGTGCTGTTACTTTGACAATATTTCCTTTCCATACACATTTTGCAAACATCACTTGCATCAATGTCATGACAGCTTTTCTTATGGTGACACTTCTGAGGAACTGGATTACTACACGTATATCAACCAATTTTCTAGTGAATCAGAAAGTCGTCGTCGTCGTCGTCGTCGTGAAGCTACACATTATTCTGAATGATCTAAAATGTGGAAAATTGGAGAAACCTTCGAAATGAACAATTTCACCTCTACTTACACTTTCCATTGATGATTTCATGATTTCACTGAATATAAACTCTGTCAAAAATGGAAATTTGTTTTCAGCACAGGTCAACTGCAATGCTGACTAAAGCTTCGGTACCACTCACATTGCTATCTGGCTGTTCATTTAATAACTACTACTAACAGTGACTTGTACATGTGTGGGAACAAAATAAAAACATCCCATCAACCTTTGGTTTTTAAATGCAGACACATATAAAATATTTACATATGTGATTTACTAAAGTTAGAATGCAATGGGGAGATAAGGAAAGGTGGGATTTACATATCCATTGTCTGATGGAAAGTTATGTGATAATGTATACTAACTACAGTTCATATGTCACCAAGATATAGCCCAACACTCTATATATTCAAATTAAAATTTCTTACATTAATACACTCTTTCTTATTACCTGTGATCCCGTAACAATGACGGTTTTCCCGAGGTTTTCAAACATGAATGAAAGTGCTGAAGCAGTGTATGCCAATGTGTCTGTTCCATGGAGAATGACAAAGCCATCATATGCTTCATAAGACTTCTGAGAAACAAACAGTACCAAAAACAGTCGTTACTTAAATACCTTGTATTATCACACCTGAAATTCCATTGTATATGGAAAATTTACATTTACATGTGTGCTACATGTTCTGCCTACCTCACTTCCACTCTAATAATATTTTAAGACTTAACACTAACATGAGTAGTACCAACAATTTTTATTGCCACTGCTCGTTTGTAATATTTTAAGTTGACAGTAAATGCTGACATTCTTGTATGAGGTACAGACCAATCTTTGTTATGGCTAAGATATAAAAGGGAAGAGATAAGCAATTATCTGCTTGTATGAAGTTGTTTACCATGTAAAGACATTCCAAAACTGTTGCACCTAGAAAAGAACATTTAATGGCAGGAAGAAAAATCCATTTACCTACTTTTTATGGCATAAATATAAAAATGAAATTTTTTTGATGTTTCTAAACATTCTAGTAACATTTCAGGTGTACAAAAATCATGGAAGTACAATACTTAGATCTGCCAGTTTCATTGAGATGTTTATGGGTATATTTATCTGGTATATGTTGAAGTCTTCTTGCACATACATCCAGAGTACACAAATTTTACCACTTTCAGTTAAAACATCGTATAATTATAAGACTGAGTGTGCCATTATATTATTAGGTTATGATGGTCCTAGTTCTGGTGCAAAAATTGTTATGGGTGATTACCATTGATCTAGAGGATTCTGCTGTGTAATCTAGGATCTGTACAAGAGCCAGTCAGGCAGCTCAGGTGGTGAAGGAGCTGAGTTGGACTTGAACCAACACTAGCCAGGCTAATTTGACTTAATTAGAAGATACTGTCACTAACAGCAGGGAAGTCAGTACATTGATGCTGATTAATTAGGGACTTTAAAAGATCTGGCAGTTGCTAGAAAAAATGTTAGTTTTATTGTCAATGCTTTGACAAAAGAATAGCTGTATTATTAATTCCATGATAAAGAATTGGTGATATTGTGGTAGAGACAAGTAATATTGTTAATGCAGTGATACATATGGAAAAGTAAAGCACAGAACTGAAAAATGCAAAGTCTTCAGTATAAACCCAAAACACCTATGTCCAAAGTTGAACGGTTACGGAGATAATGGCCAGAGAAGTGTGAAACTTTGAGAGGTGTTACACACTTGTGAGTGACATGAAGCCATTAAATTGAACTACAAAAAAACTCACATGCCATGTCATAGTTGTCCTTAGGGTTCCAAGCACTATACATGACACATGAATGGCAACCACTGATGTAACATGGCTGACTGTGCATTCTGGTATAAGCCGACGATATAATTGTACTAAAATACAGTACCTGCTTTATAGTAATTGTTCAAAGTGTCCTCTGCCAGCTGCAATGCAGTTTTCGGCACGCATCATGAGGGATTGGGTAGCAGAAGCAATGTTACCTGGATGGTGACGCGTGTTCTGCCGTTACAAAAATACGATCCCGCAGTGCTTCTCGTGAATCGACCTTAGTTTGGTAGACTAACGTCTTCATGTAGCCCCAGAGGTAATAATCTAGAGGCGTAAGATCTGGCGACCTCGCTTTCCATGCAACGGGCCCACAACGACCTAACCAGCGGTTAAGGAAGGTTACTGTGAGCCGTCATCACCACACTCAGGGACAAACATCGATAAAAATTGTCAGCTGACAGGTACAGTGCGTGGACCCGCCAGAAGACCACACTTTTCTCGGGCCATTATCTCCGTAACCGTTCAACTTTGCACATAGGTGTTTTGGGTTATATCGGCATACTTTAACATAAGGAACACCCTCCCGAAGTCTGGCACATTCCTCCTGGAACACTTTGTATATATTAGTGTGAGGAATACTAGGCCCCTGCTACAAATTGGAGCTCATGTCATGATCTGGCTTCTTTTGTTAAAGTTTACAGTGACATGATGAGCACTTATTTCTACTCAAGGCTTGATGGGGAAATTTCAAAATGGCCATGGGCTGGACAGCCTCACGATAAAAATTCAGTAGTCATAATTATTTAAAAGTGATATCAATTATTGGTACACCTTCATGGGACGGTGTCTAGCCATAAAGATAACAACTGTCTTTGCCAAACGTGATCTTGTAAATTAAATATCCATTATCTTATCAATACAGATTAGCCTTGTATATTCCATGCAAAATTCATATAAAAGTGAAGACATACGTGAAACTGCGATTTAAATTCACTGACATATGACTAACTAACACCCCCTTAACGTGGTGAGGGGGTTTGAGTATGCCAAGGACCCTGAGAGCTATACCAGCGGTAGCGTAGCTACTGGCAGGGCCTCCCTTGCTGGACAGGTCAAAGGGTAGGCATCAGACGAAGAGAGACACCAAAAACCAAAAAATGAATGACTAACTACCATGGTACAGTCTTCCTCAAAAGTTGAATACCACTCAGCTATTTGGGTCGGACTAAGTCCCTTGTACTGCGGCCACTTCTGGCCTACTGTACCAGCCCCACATGATAGGTGAGGGTGATTGTGGAGCAATTGGTGGAATGAAGATTGGCATGGGAAACCGAAGTACTCGGAGAAAACCTGCACCAGCGCCACTTTGTCCACCACAAATCCCACTTGACCAGATCCGGGATCGAACCCGGGCCGCCGCGGTGGGAGGCCAGCGACTAACCGCTTGAGCTATGGCGCGGCCTAACCACTCAGCTAACTATATGAACCAGGGTCCTTCTTGAGAAGCTGATAATACTGACACTAATCAAGCAGTGACCCAAGTTTTACGGAAACTGAAGGCTTATTACAGCACTCCCTATGTCGCTACACTGTCCCTAGATGGAACCAGATAAATCAAATCCACACTCTCACTTTCTTATTTCTCTAAGATCTATTTTTATTTAGTCCTCCCACTTAAAGTGAGGTTATGTTCTCTCTTCTCTTCAGATTTTATATAAATTTGTCATCTTTACCATCTGTGCTTCATGCCATGTCTATCTTGTCTTCTTTGATGGAATGACCCTAATACTAAGGGCGTTCCGTATATAATGCCTCCTATTTTTTTAAAGAAAACTACAACAGATACAGAAAGCATATTAACGCAGTTAAATAGAGCAAGATTTCAGCTACTTACAGCTATTTTTCCACATAATCACCATCATTCGTAATGTACTTTTGCCATCAATGAACAAGGGCCTGTACGCCGCGCCCGTAAAAGTCTGCGCCAGCAGAGGCTAGCCACTTTCTTCCAGCTGCAATGACAGCATCGTTGTCTGGAAAATGTTGCTCACGTAGTCCATCTTTCATAGGCCCAAAGAGATGGAAGTCTGAAGGTGCTAAATCGGGGCTATAAGGTGGATGTGGTAGGACAGCCCAGCCAAACTTTGCACTGTGCGCGGTGGTCGCCAAACTGGTATGGGGTCTAGCGTTATCGTGTTGCAAGCGAAAGGTTGTCTGCTTCTCTGGCCTGACTCGGGAAATACAGGCTTTCAGCTTAGTCAGCGTCGTCTTGTAGCGTTCAAAATTGACAGTCCCTGGTCGTTATCTGCTGATCTGTTCGGATGAGGCGCTGTTCATTGTGAGGAGTGGCAGCTGAGCAGGGACGCCCATGGCGTGGCTTGTCGTGCACTTCACTTTCGCCACTGTTGAAACGCACTACCCACCGAATCACTGTGCTGACATCCACTGTATTGTCTCCGTACACCTTTAGCAAGTGTCGATGGATGTCAATGGGTACAATTTGTTCGGCAGTGAGAAATTCAATAACACATTTCTCTTTCATACGCACTTCTATGTCAGACGCCATTTTGGTAGACTGCTCTGCTGTCGCTATCTGTCGCACGACAACCAAATTAACAGTACATTGGCGGGAAGGTTCAACCTTTACTACAACACTGCCAACAACCAGCTCAGACGTTACATATTAACACAAAAAAATAGGAGGCATTATATACGGAACGCACCACGTAGTATCAGGTGAAGTGTACACATTATGAAGCTTTCTGTTGTGTATTTTCTGCATTCTAATGTCACTTCATTCCACCTGGGTCAAAATATTTTCCCCGTTTTGAGTGCCGCCAACCTACATTATTCCTCTAATAAAAAAGACCGATCTTCGTTCCCATATAAAACAAACACAATATCACAGTTGGGAATGTTTCAGTATTTATTTATATAGATAGGAGCTACTTGAACATTACCTGGATATCGAGAGCTATTTGTATCCAGCTGTCCATCGCCATGTTGCTGGAGTCAAGAAGCTGTGAGTACTCTTGGATATGGTAAAGGACTCGGGTCTTATCAGTCATCTCCCTGGAAACAACCACCTCACATAACTACATTGCACACAGAAGAACTTTAACTACGTGCCCACTTATATACATGCCAAATTATTCACCAGGATGTATAATTTTCCTTGAAGATACCAGTGTTTCAAAGTTCCGGCCTACAGATCCAGAGGTCTCGGGTTCGATTACGGGTGCAACGAGATTTTCTGAGAAGTAGTGGGTCTGGAACGGGGTCCACTCAGCCTTATGAGGATAATTGAGGACCTATTTCAAGGAAATTGCGGCCCCGGTCTAGAAAACCGAAATTAACGGCCGTGGAGAACCGTTCCGCTGACCACGTGACATCCTCTATCCTCAAAAGTTGGCATTAACTTCGCGGACAATCGGCTGTCGCTCGGTGGGTATAGTTCACTTGCGGACTAAAAGCAACGGAGTTCTTTATATATATATATATCACTGCACAGAACAGTTTTACCTTGCAAGCAGAGCTTCTTCACCCCCGCCCCAAAAAGCACGTCAGCCTGTTCCTATGGTAAAAACATAAAATGCACCCGCCGTTGTGTGGACGCTTGACAAGTTCCCGGTAGGCATCCATAATCTTCCTCATGCGCACTGGCTTGTGTCTGCTAAAGAAACTCTGCCTGAAACTGTAATAATGAAAGCCCAAAACTGCTGGATTCCAGTTCCATTGTCCATATGAAGGTAAAGCTTTCCTGCAGCAGGGCGCCGAGGCTCCCACATTTTGTGAACAATCGGCTCACAGATGGCGGTGAGGTTGTCAGACTTACGCGCCGGCAGCCCTTTGTCCCCAGGAAGATTCCTGGTACTCATTTCTGTTAGAGGTTGAGTCAGCGGCCTCCGTAGTCTAGAGGTAACGTTCCCACCTCATGACTCGTGGTACGCGGGTTCAAACCCGGCGGA